CTGTACCACCAGTCACGCTTATCGCCAGGTTTTGACAATTTATGAAAAGCGTCCCCTGTATAAACATTGCATTTTTGCGCCTTTACGTCGCCATCCGCCATCTGTCTCGGTGGCACGGTCCTTACTAAACTACTGTAAAACTGCGGTTACCCCATTGTACCGCCAGCGAACTGGCCTCCAAAGTACGCAATAGGCTACACACGGCACACATCCACTATCCACTAGGTGGTTGCTTGACAATCTTTCACACACTTTAAGTCTCATTGAAATGGGCCAAGGTATTATTTTATACATAGATCAAACACTTTTCGCTGATTTGCTCCCTCCACGCCCATCCCATCTCCCTATCCTAGCCTTGTAGTTACAAGCAATACGGATAGATCTACAGTGATGTTGTGCAGAAGAGTCTAAAAAACAACTTTGCAATTCAGAATCAAATTTCGCTCCCCGCGTGAGTCCGGCTAAACTTGATGCACTGATTATGAACATTGCTCCAATTATTTTTAGGTCGCCTGGAAAAACTTTAAAGGAACCTCGCCATATCTGCCCCACAGCAAAATATATGGCACCACCAAATATCAGCCCAATAACTTACAGACAGGCTTTTACTGGCTTTTATTTAGTGAGGACTCACACTCTTGTCTTAGTGATAGCTCGAAGGGAGATTAATTAATTAATTCATCTAGCGATTGGTAAAAAAGTTCCCCCGATGTTTGGCATTCAGAGGTACAAAAAACTTTATACAACAGAAGACATGAAACTTCGTTGTTTCGCCAGCCCTGCTGTACCGTCAAGTTCATATACCGCCAGGGTTTGACTGCACTGAAAAGCAATCTGATGGTTTGTTGAGATTACAAGAGAGAAGCATGACAACAAGTCATTGAAAACCACTTAGTGATTGGCCCAACTAGCAGATCTAATGTGCAGGCCTGAAAAAAGTTCTGTGCAAACTGTGTGCCCACAGTATTGTAGCTGTATTATTAGTGTTCTTCATCAGTTCATGCCCTATCATCATCATCATCACTCTGCACCCCTCGGGGACTCATGCATGCAGGTCTAGATTCATTTGTCAGTGCGATCACTCATCATTTCATTCCATTCTACATCAGCGTCTTGTGTTTTCCATTTCATTTCAGTTGATGTCGTCATCACTTGTAACCCCGTTGAATCATTAAAAGTTCATTGATGTTATCCGACGAGTGATGAGTCATTCTTTAAGTATTACATTTCGTCATATAAAAACTAATCAAGATCAAAACCCGTCCTTACTTCCCAGTCCGCATAAAAGCAAAAAGCAACAAAGAAAATACACTTGCCTAAAGCTTATTGCCCGACCTCATTTTATTTATATATATATATGCAGATTTGTATACTGGAACAGGTTCTTGGATCTTAAGCTTATAGTTTATAGAAGTGAAAATATTTTATTACATCTATAATATGATTATTATAAAGAATATATTGGCATCGAATCATATCCAGGTGAAAGCAAGTTCTTTTAGTGCACCAGGGTTTAATCAGTGTGTTATTTAAGCGCACAGATTGTGACAGATCAATGATGCTGTTAGACGTGTTCTGTCGATTTGCGCGATTGTTGGATCGTGCTACACATTTTGTTGACCCATGGAATGCGTTATTTAGTCATACGTATGACTTTAACTTCTGCTTGGTGCAATGTCAACAATATGGATATATATGCTCATCTGATGTTTTCAAAATAGCAGAAAAACGAAAAACTCTACACGCGGGTAAAATGTAAGATCTAAAATCCATTGCACATTCTACAGATTCACAAAAAGTACTGCCAATTCACCAATCTAATACAGAATGTGCAACAATCAAACGATTGTTGCGCATTCTATGGATCCACAAAATGCGTACGGTGCACGATCCACCGATTGCGCAAATTGACAGACATGCCTTACAATACCACTAGATTTATCTAGAATCTACTCTTGCTCTAGATATATAAAAGTCACCAACACATTACATTTTTTCAGAGCCCTGAACTGACCCCCAAGGGAGCCTCAAGCTTAGACAGCAAACAGTATGATACAGGTAAAAATAAACCTTTCGAATAGCTCTTTTCCTACCAGGCCAAAATCCACAACTGGCCCAGGGCTTTTCCCGGACCTATTTTTACGCCCCTACCCCGCCTAAGGAAAATGTCTAAATTCTAAATATCCAACTAAACACACACAAACCATATCTTATGGCCCATTAAACTGAAGGTTAAAAATTAATCTATCAGATGGTGATACAATATTGAAGATTTATTTCAATTATATACGACATCAACAATTTTCCAGCTTTGAAAGGTCATATAAAAAAGTACAACAGCCACCATTCAAACTTCCAAAGTAGGTTGTGTCAAACTGTAATGCAAATAAATGCTGAAAGTTATGTATGTGTACCTAATATTATAATATAAATCTAGAAGTGAAAATACAATATACTGAAAGTGAAGTAAGGGGAGCGCTTTTTTTCTAGATCTATTTACGTTTCGAAGGCGACAAAAATAAATGTGCATTTTCTTTCGTATCTGCTAACAGGAAGTCTATTCAATTGTTTTGAAAACGTGGATCGGCCGAGAATTTTGAGTTTTTTCGCTACTGGATTGGAATAGATAGCAAGCCACTCAAGCTGTATGCGGTTCTCGGTCCAGCGAGGCCAGGTCCGCGAACCATGCGGGAAAGTGTTAGTAGTGGCTCCTTTGCGAACGGACAGCGCTTTTTCGGTAGTTCCCACCCACCCCCAATCATCATTCAGGCTTTTTGGCTTTGGCCCCAGGAGTAGGGGGGTTTCACTAGGCTTGCTCCCCTGACCTAACAAAAACATGGGGGGGGGGTGCATTCAGGGAAGCATGCCCCCCCCCTGAATTTTAGGCAGAAATCTCATGCTCACCGCGAATCAAACAGATCTAGAGTAGATCCAAATAAGTGGGGTGGGAACTACCGAATAAGCACCGGCGAGTCTTGTCACACACTGTTGTTTGCGTGCGACCAGGACCAGGTAAGATGTGTAATGAGTGTAGAAGGATAGGCCCACCAACATGACTGACACGAGCAAGAGCTGCACCATGAGATCAAAGAGCGAGCAGTATGGACATTTAGTTCTAATGCACCATCTACATCTAGATTCTAGATCTAATTACACCCCTTCTCCGACCAAACTATTTTGTGCAAATATCTTAACAGATGATATAAACAGTAAGCATTTTTGACATTGTTTACAAACATGAGTTTGTGAGAAAGCGAAAGTAGACATGCTAAGTAGGAAGAAACATGTTCATATTTGGCTATTTTGAGAGCTTTGGTCACAGAACCGATGCTCCATATCTGCAGCAGAAAGCCTAGCCATAAAAATACGTTTGTTACCATTCCAGAATGTTTCTAGGTATGGCACACGGGCAGAATACGTCTTCAGACAGAAACCTAACCGGTCACTTCTGTTTGGGTTCCTTACTTTCCAATGAAAACCTGAAAATCCGTAAAATCACGTCAAATTTCTCGGAGTCCGATAATGGCGTTGGGAACGGTAAAATGCGAGACTGACTGCGCATGACCCGCTGATCTATTGATAGATTTAGATTCTTAAAAAACTGTAGCTATAAAAACACAGCAGTGAATACTATAACTTAATTTTACAATATTACATATTAATTTTTTTGACACTAAAAATAAAATTTAAGAATCAGTCACAGTTTCCTGTGCCAATGATATTTGCAAAAGAATCTTTACCGACGGGAGTGTGTTTGACTGATTCAATGCCAGTAATTTCTGAACATTTAAATACCATAGTTCACACTGGTTGCGTTTCATTGGTGCCCTTTGACCCAGTAAGGTTCATTGCGTTTTCTTGTGTCTGCTGGATTCACACAAACCTACGTTCGCAACCCACTTTATCATCGTTATAGGCCTATACGACGACGTCGTGCTGAGCGTGCTTGTGCTAGAGTTTCATTTCAGTGTGAGTGCACGAACAGGAGTCATTTTTCTTTACGTGGATTGATGTAGAATCTAAAAGGAGTTTGGTGCTTGGTGCTTGTTTAGTTATTATTTTTTTTGTGAAAACACAACAATCATGTATCGAGGTTTCACATCTGGAATGGTATTGTTCATCTGTATGTGTCTTGGACTGAGCACTCTCAATTCAGCACTGGAAGCATGCAATGCCGACGTGAGTCTCAAAAAGTCCCTTGTTTGGGGCCCAGGCCTTAGAGCAGATTTCCTCGTTCCTGTGAGGTACATTTATGTCCAGCTGGTGGACAAAAAGGGTCAAAAGTGAGTATTTGTTTAGTACTTCGGTGTTGTTGTAATGCATTTCAGAACTCTTGTCCAACCAATTTAGGAGCATCTCGTGCACCAGCGGATAAACGATGCCAGACTTTGCTCTCTCTCTCTCTCTCTCTCTCTCTCTCTCTCTCTCTCTCTCTCTCTCTCTCTCTCTCTCTCTCTACTAA